TACCCCCTGACTGACAAATGCTCCATTCCCAGGTTGTCCCATACTTAATACTTCTCATGGACAATATTGATTGGAGCTAGTCAGTGTTGAGCAGGTTGTTGTATGCTCATGGAAGATGAGAAGGTAAAAACAACAACTTGACATACGGTACTGTGGTAGAATCGACAGGATTGTTGTTTTGCTTTTTCAACTTGGTTAAATTGTTTGCACTTACTGTACTATTACAGACATAATAGTAAATTGACTAAAAGATTATTCAATCGACTGAGAAATAATCTGAATCTATTCTGATAATTGTTGAAGTAATTTTTCATAGTAGTTTTATATCATATTAATCTGAATATGTTGGGATTATCAACTGAAAATCATTATATGGCATCCCCATTGGACTTTGATCAACTTGGATGTTCACTGTTTTTTTTAACATTTGATTGAACCAGCACATTATTCTATAAAGAAAACATTGGTCGTTGCTGTATATATTTTGTGTTTTGCAGCCCTGCTATAAAGTGCAGCTTTATGCAACAAACATATGGTTTACTCATTCTGTTTTTTTCCTGTTCATTCTGGTTTTAGGTGCAAAGAATTCAGCGCAAAATCTGCAGCATCACATTGAGATGGACATGTTAGCCTGTTCCCCTTCACCTGCAGGTAAAGTATATCCACATCTACCAATCAAAGTGTGAAAAGAGCAAAAGATGGGAGGTCAGATCACAGGATTAAGGGCAGGTTTTAAGCCCTCAAATGTCAAAGAAACAGCCCCCCAGTATCACTGACAATCAAAGCTTTATTGGGGGAAGGGGGTCGACCCCATGTTATGGCTGGGCGGAGGAGACAGAGGATCCCTAGTTTTATTCATAAATAATTGTTGATAAGCTAAACCAAATTTGAATTTAATTAAATTATAAAACCCCTTTATTTCTTAATGCAACCATTAATTACATTTCATGTATTTACTTTTATCAAATACACATTTGTCATTGTGTGATAAAACAAAGGTCGTGTTTAGTTTAATTATTAATAGAAAAAGAATCTGAGCAGTGTTTCCATACAAACTTAATCAACCACATCATTTTCACTCCATTTAGATAAAGCGAATGTATCATTATGGACCAGTTGGTGGTTGATGTGCATTTAATGGCAGTTAATGTGCTTGTTGAGGTCATAATAGATCTAATTAACAACATGTCTAACAATGACCCAAAACAGGCCTGTGCAGACGAGCTGCTTGACTATTGTCAGGGCTTCAAGTGTCTGTCTGTGCTGAAATGTTGGGAACCTTTTCTCCGCTGCGTACCCCACTGACCTAGATTTCAATTGTTTTCTGCCTGAGACAATAGGAGAAATGGTTTCATAACTGAACACAATACCTGGGTGTTATTCAACACGATTGTTGTTAAGGTTCTCATTGTGGTGTGCTGAGCATTGTGTGTTTTCTTTATGTAACCTGCTCAAGCAGCCAGTCAGGGACGAGCATGAGCATCCTGCAGTAAATCACTTCTGGACGGTTCAGCAGATGATTGTGCATTCACATTCATTTCTGCAGCCAAGCTGGTCCAGTGTCAAACGCAAACACACTTCTCAGATGATTTTACAAATCTTCCTGCTTACAATCTTATTTTTCAAAGCAATTTGACAAAAAAACAGTAATAACTTAATGTGTATTTTTGTGTCTTACAAACAATGAAGACAACTCCTAACTACTAATAAAGCAACAAAAACAAAATTGCCTAAAGTACAAGCTACTCATTAATCGTCACTGCCTGTTTTAAATTCCTCCCACCTACCAAAAAGGTTGCCAAATTAATCTAGAGTTAAGTTGAAATGTTTGTACTGAGACACTCAAAACTATTTTGTTTACCGTTGTTAAGCAATGGAATTTATTTTCTTGTGCAAACCCTAAACATGTCTTCAAACCTGTCAAACCATAACTGTTTGTTACAGGTGGATCGCAGGACAACTTAGCTCAAATGAGAGCAACACAATGTCTTCCTTACTGCTTGCTCATGCTACTTTTCAGTTAAGGTAGGGCAGGGTATTTGTAAATAGAACCCTTCAAAGAAAAGGTCAAATTGAATAAAAAAGATGAAAGACCAGAAATATAGTTGTAATGTTAGAGTATCCACCATTTTATAAAGGTGATCATAATTTAAAGACACAAGAGCACAGCAGATGAGCTCACTTTATATGATATATGTATGTATGATTTAGAACTGCCTTGTGTTTATCACCTTTAATATTGTCAGGAAGTTGGTTCAGCGCAGTACTAAAAGCAGCTTCAACCTCATTTGTTCTGAGTAGAGGCATTACCATTGACACTCTCATGAGTACATGATGTATCAGACTGCTTTATTAAGGACAAGTGCCTCGGAAAACTCAACCAATCAGGAGAAAAAACACAAACACTGTCATCAATAACAAAAGAACAGTATCTGTACAGTTTGCCGCCTAAATATACTGACAGAGATCTAATAAAATAAGAGATGACTTGATCGCATCACGTTGCTAGTTTACATCATTCAAAGTATTCTATCGTTGGATAAGTTACAACATCACCATTGGTGGGGATAGGGGCAGGCAGGCGGAGGAGGAGAAAGGAGGACAGAATGCTCCATGCTTGGTGGATAGATGAAGGAAGAGTGAGCAGAAGGCAAATTAATCAAAGGACATCAAAGGCAAACAGATTGAGAGAGCAAAGAAATGAAAGAGTGCCGCCCGTTTGTCCCATGCCGTTCCCGCTCCGCTCCGCCTGACCCTGCTCTCAGATCTCAGGGCCATTGTGCCGCACGGGTGCATGGAGGGGGCTGGGGGCACAATGCACACAACAAAACACACACACACACACACACACACACACACACACACACACACACACACACACACACACACACACACACACGCACACACACACACACACACACACACACACACACACACACACACACACACACACACACACACACACACACACACACACACACACTAACTAACGTCTGAAAGCACGGCTTCAAAAGGAAGACATGTCATGTTTGTATCTTCTGACTCCTCATCAGTTTTCTTCTTGCTCTGAATCTTGTTTTGGTTTCTTCCTCATCTGTTTCACCATCAAAGCATTTGTGTTGGCAGCACACACTTTGAGTGAAACACCAACAGTCAGTCACACACTCTCTAACACGTACTGTATGCTGTCGGCGTGGCAGCAGTGCACGGCTCTCTTTGATAATGCCCTGCTAGATTCGGCCAGTTAGTTGGCTCCAAGTTGACTCCAATTTGTGCTTCTCGATTGGGAGACTGGTCGGCACAGACTTCTTTCTGTGTGCATGTAGACTGTGATCATGCCACTGTCTGATGCCTGTGAATGTAGAGAACATTTTGTTTATATCAGTGTTATATTTGGATCACTCCCTGCAGAGATTTCAGTGCACTGTAACCCTTATATGCTGTGAATGCAGTACAATCTAATAATAATAACATGACACTGTGGTTCTGTGGTGTGGAAGAGTGACATGTTTTCTTATTATATTGGATATACTTTGATATACAGAGTTATATTGACAAAGTTTGTCTGACAAAGCAAACTTGCATATCTGACAGATTACATACTGGCACCTCCTGCATCCTCTGAAGCCAGTGTTAGAATAAACAAATCATAAAATATTCTTTAATGCAGAATGGCCCCTATATGATAAGGGATCCTGGCTTATGGTTCGGCATTGGTAACTCATTAACAATAATAATTTAATTGTTGTTAAAAAAGGTTTTTGTTGTCATAATTCTTGACAAATCCTTATTAGTTATTATAGATGAAGATGTTTTTCACATAATGTTATTGTTTGAGCTTTAAAAAGATGACAAGCTACAGTTACTACCATAGTCTTTTTCAGATGTAAAGATTTACAAACATATCATCATGTCATGAGTTCTAACATTTTGTCTGAAAATCAGTACGTCAGTTTTACTTGAGTACCAGCAGTTGCAGTGACAAGACCACAAAGGTGACACTGAATGGCTCTAAATTGAAAGTGTATACCTTAAAAATACATCATATTCATATGTAATTTTTTTTTACAATATCTTTATGTAACAAAAGCAGAGTTCAGCAGAGAAAGACAAAAGTGATGTGAACTGACAATATTTTAATGGGGGGGATAAAAGACTGTAAGTGATCAATGGAGGCGGCGGCCAAGTGATGCCCGGTGGGCGGCTTTGATGTGGGCATCCTCAGAGGGACGCCGGGGACAAAGCCCTCTTTGAGCGGCACACAGAATGGCAGACACTTCCCTCACCCTCTCTCCCGCTCTCTCACACTCTGTCACTCAACCTCCCTCTTTTCCCTGTGACTCTTCACTTCAGACGCTCACAGACTTCTCTCTCTCTTGTTCTACATTCCTCCACTCCAGTGTCACATCAGCCCATATCTTTATCTGCATATCTTTCTCCCTCTTCCTCTCACATTAATTCATTCAAACAACACCCCCTTTCCTGCCGCCCAGCCAATCACTCTGCCTTCCCTTTCTCTCCCCCCCCTCCCTATCTGCATCTCTCTCTCTCTCTCCCTCCCTCTGTCTCTTTTCATAGAACCAAACCTCTTTGTAATGTCCAGCCTTGGCAAGTTGCACCCCATTTGCTGTCACAGTCTTAATGAATTCATCTGTTTGTGTATTGGCCATGGGAGCATCTCTCCCTCCTCCCTCCCTCTCCCTCTCTTTCCTGTCCTGTCCCCCCTCCCACTTACTGGTGTTCCCCTGGGGGACTCTATATATACCAGGGACCACTCCAGGCACCTATTGTTCCTCTAAGTAAACTTACAGACAGATGCCCTGCACCACAGTGTGGGAGAGAGTCCAAAGAGTCAGGAGGAGGGAGACAGAGAAGGATTTCAAAGAGAAACCTCACAATAAGGACCTGGAAACCCTGCAGACTCGCCTCACCTCCACCAGCTCCTCTCCTGCCTGTCTGCTTGTTGTCGCTGTGGAGTGGAGGTCTGATGCTCTGACACCATGCTGCTGCTCATATCTCTGCTGCTGATGGGACTCCACTGTTTGCTGGGAGCCCCGGCAGGTCGAGAGGTCTACAGGATGCCTCAGAGCGCTCTCAAAGGTAAGGTGTTTCTCATGTTGCAGTATATTTGAAAGGTAGTGACAACATGACAAGTGATTATAGTGTAGATATCTGAATAAGCATTTAAGCAGTTTCACACCTCCTGAGGGCTGGAAATAACGAATCAACAATTGCTATGTAGGATATATGCCATAGACAGATCCATTTGTGTTAATGCATAATGTTGAGAGCCCCGCAAATTAAACACTAGTGATGCTTCAAAAGCGTTGTATCTCTCTGGGAGTAAAGCAGGCAACACTTGGTGATACTAACAATATCTATAAAATAGCTTAATACTACAGCTGACATACAGGATGTACAAAGAGGCACAACATATATCAATGAATGTTGTGTTTTGCTATAGGCCTTCTCTGTTATTTAAATTGAATTATTGCTGATATTGTTTAACAATCTTTCATGGTTTAGTGTTTTTCTGAGGAGCAGCAGGTGGCTAACCCTAGTAACCCTAAAGAAGTAATGCAACACATTTGAGTAGTATTTCAGCACATACAAACTGTCTTCAAGCTGCAAGGATCAGAAATATCATCAGCTGTATTTGTATGTCTTTATCTCATTCGGCACTTTATCAGTCAGGCGTTATGCATGAATACTTTAATCGTGCAGTAAAGCACATTGGTGGGGGACCCCTGGCCTTCTCTGGTTGAAGTGCTGAGTACAGCAGAGCCTTCATACAAACGGCTGGTGATGGCACTGTGTGTTTAGAGTGTTTAGAACAAGGCACTCGGGGTCCCAGCCGCCCCTAGGGTCTGTCCCTGCTCGCCAGCCTCTGCCAGCTCAGCCCTGGCCTTCTAATTAAGTCTTCAATCAGCATTGTTGTTGTTAGTAGCCTATCCTGTGATGTGGTGCGGCACAGAGGGGGGGCTGCAGGGTCGGCGGCCCGATTGATGTGAGTCTGCTGAATCCTCACCAGCGCGCTGAGCGTGAGCTAGCTTCCCTAACACGCTGCCAATGAGCTCAAAGAGCAGCATGAGAGAAAGGGGGGGTCCTCGCACACATACCAGAAAGCGGCACCAGTTCATACTGATGCTCACATAACGGATGTGGACACATAATGTTCCCACAGAAAACGCTGGTCTGCAGTTAACGATGTGGTTGTCCTTCCTATTTTGTCAGAATTCAGTCAATGAACATGCATTTATCAAAAGAAAAGTATGAAAGTAGTATCAGTCCATTATGCAATGAGCCCAGCCAGGCTGCTGATGATCTCATTATTTTTTAAACAATTTTCATAAAACGTTTTTAAATATGTTTTGATAAACAGTCAGATTTAAACTGATAATGTCCAGAACTGCTTTAATTGAGGCATTACCGCAAATGTGTCTTTGCCATTTTACTGTAACTACTTGTCACTTGGCCAACATATAAGCTGATAACATAATATATATATTGGCATATCAGCCTGACCAACACACGAGTCTGGCTCCTGTCTTCTTCTCTATCTTGCCGTACTTCGCTTCCTTCCCCCCAGCTTGTCTCACATGTTGTTCTTTCTTTTCTCTGTCTCCCTTTCCTCTCCTGCAGCTCTCTCTGATCGAGGCACTGTGGTTCTCGAGGCGGCCATGACTAGTGCCCTGTCCACTCTCGACCGTGCATCATCTGAGAGAAGTCGGGCGGAAGCAGGCTGCCGAGGCTGTGTTCCCTGTTTGTTTCAGGACTGTGGGCAGCTGTCTGGCTCCTGTTGTAAGTCAAATATGACTCTTTCTTCCACTTATAATCAGTGAGCATCTTGAGCCATGTTGAGCCAATGAATGCTTTCTTAGTAAACTCTCCTTCTCGCCCCAACAGCGTCTCCTGCCAATGCCCTTTCAGAGCCCAGCTGTGATGTCATCAGTAAGGCGCAGAAGCTTCAAGATGAAGCTGAGCGGAGTTGGGCTCTTAGTCAGGCCTGTGCATACTACCAGCATCGCTGCCCAGCTGGTGAACTGGACAAAGAGAGCTGCATCAGGATCATGGGGGAGAGCTGCAGCGCCCGGGTCCTCCAGTGCAGCCTGCTGAACACCATGCAGAACCTGGAGCCTGCCACACAGACGCATGCACAGGGTGAGGGGATACATCAGTCATGTCTTCATACAGATTATCTTTGTCTGTGAAAAGTGTGAGGCTTATTTGCAAAGTGATTCAATGTTTCTTTGTAAAAAAGCAGATTTTTCTTACAAATATTAATTTGTAAGAAAAATTAATATGGCTTCTTTCAAATTAAGCCATATTATTTTGAAATGTCCTGGTATATGGATATTTTTCCTAAGTATATTGGACTGTATTATTGTAATATGTAGGATGACCTTACACAAGTCATCCTACATATAACCCATCTTTTATTTTATTTTATTTTTGCTATACCTGTGTTATTTACGTTCTCAGTGTTATTATTGATTTGACTTCTACACGTTTTGTTTTTCATATTCTCATGTTGATTTTTTGGGGGGATTTGAGACCTTATACATGTTGTGACCCCTTGTTAAAGAAATTGTTAATCTAAATTGAAGTACTATTGGATGTAAAGGAGAATGTGAGAAATAACTAATAAAGAATAACAGATTTTGCTTCAGTTTGTGACCCTCTGTGTCTCTGTCCCAGCAGCAGTGTGTGGTCAGAGGTCGTCCGCGGTGCAGAACATCACACAGCCTCGCTCCCGGATCGTGGGGGGCTCGCCGGCTCCTCCAGGCAGCTGGCCCTGGCTGGTCAACCTCCAGCTAGATGGTGGCCTGATGTGTGGGGGGGTGCTGGTGGACAGCTCCTGGGTGGTCACTGCAGCTCACTGTTTTGCTGGGTGAGTGTGCATCACTGTTTCTCTGCAACTATAATAAGATATTTGATTGGAGTTTATCATAGTGTTGATCTCTCACTCATTCCCACTTTCTCTTATTGTTTTTGACCTCTGTAGCAGCCGGAGTGAGAGCTACTGGACTGCTGTGGTGGGGGAGTTTGACATCACAAAGACGGACCCTGATGAGCAGGTTCTCAAAGTGAACCGCATCATCCCTCATCCTAAGGTAACTATCCGAGGTGAAGATGCATTAGAGGCATAATAGAGTATTACCTTTCCCATTACACCTCCCTGGTTAAACAATCAATTCGTTTCTTCAATCAATCAATCTTTCTTCACCTCCCACAGTTCAATCCAAAGACATTTAACAACGATATAGCCCTAGTGGAGCTGGCATCCCCAGTCGTCCTGTCTGGTCGTGTGACCCCGGTGTGTCTCCCCTCCGGCATGGAGCCCCCTACTGGCAGCCCGTGTCTGGTGGCAGGCTGGGGCTCCCTCTATGAGGGTGAGTAAGGCCATCATTTACCTGGAAGTTCATGATATTTATAGCTTAGTTTTTTGTTTAAAAGATGTTTTGATTTCTTAAAAGTGCTGTTGTATATTGAAACCTATCAATAGTTAACATATAACATTTCTGTGTGTTTCTCTACAGATGGTCCATCTGCTGACGTGGTGATGGAGGCCAAGGTGCCTCTGCTGCCTCAGAGCACCTGTAAGAGCGCCCTTGGCAAAGAACTGGTCACAAATACCATGCTGTGTGCTGGCTATCTCTCCGGAGGAATAGACTCATGTCAGGTGGGCAGACCATTTCTTATCTGATCTCTCAGGTTATAGTTGGGGGTTCCCTTTAACTACTGACAAACCTTTAAAACAGTGCATAGGTATTGATACCCTTTATGTTTGTTGATATGTTTCAGCAACACCCATCATTTTCTATAACGCTTTGGGGTTTTCTGTCATCTTTAGGGTGATTCTGGAGGCCCCTTGATCTACCAGGACCGAATCTCAGGTCGGTTCCAGCTCTTCGGCATTACCTCCTGGGGAGACGGCTGTGGGGAGAAGGGCAAGCCTGGAGTCTACACTCGGGTGTCTGCCTTCTCTGACTGGATTCAGGCTGAGATACACAGTGAGTTTCATGCAACTATAAAACACCACAGAAGCTAAAACAGCTGATATCTAAATATTAAAATATGTAATTAATCTACAATACTACAATCTATGTTTGTATTATTTTAGAGTCCTTTGGAAGCAGGGAGCCGACCTGCCAGGAGCTTCTGAAGACAACAGAAATGACGGAGGAGGAACAGCGGTCGGAGTTCAGCTCCATCTGTCGTTTCTACACCCTGACCTGCCCCCCCGGTCAGTCAGCCAGCGCCTGCAGCCGGATGGCAGAGGACAAGTGCCTCACCCGCTTTAAGAAATGTCGTAAGTGCTCTAATTTAAAATCTCAGCTTGATGGATGAAGAATAAACAATAGGCAGACCACTTATTATTTATGTGGCTCAGATTTTGAGTTTTCTTATCGGTTCCCTCTCTGTCATCCAGAGTTGCGTTCGTTCATACAAACCCTGCTAGACTTGCTCCAGAGGGCAGAGGACTACATCCGGGACAAAGTGGACTTGACCTTCTTCACCCAGACTCTTCCTCAGCTGGTGGAGCACATCTACAGCACCGCCTTCATTCACACCAGAGAACGAAGGGACCTGGCCCTGAGCCCCCGTCTCACACAGATTAAAGGTACTTCATTTTTAGATTGTCTTATTCCGTTTTATCTGAGATTAAAATCTATAAATAGCTTACAGGAAGCCATGCATATCCAACTGTGCGAATGTCTCTTTAGGTGCATTGATATAATAAGAAATTGGGTTTTTAAGTCAGGTTTCTAACATGGTTTTTATTACTTGCAGAACAGCTAGGTGGAGCTACGGTGCCTACACAGCAGGGTCCCTCTCCAGTTCCTCCGTCCTTATTCAGAGAGGTGGGACCCTCAGTGGACGACTGGGAGAAATATCTGAGAAATATTGCTGAGGATCTGGACAAACAACAAAATGACAAATCAACAGACATCTCCACGCCAAAAAGACAAGAGGACAACCTTTTCTTAGAGGTATATTACAGGCAACATTTCTGTCTATTTGTTCTGTTCAAACCTGGTAGTTCTGCGTAATTGTCGTTAAAGATACAGCTATATTACTAGTGTTATACTTTTGTAGAATTTCATTTGTTTTGACACTCAACGCTTCATTCGGGAACCTCAATAAAAGCTATAAATGTCAAAGAAAATCTAAAAACATAGAATTCTTTGGAAATATTATTCAGTTATCCTTATATACAATCTTTTATAGAATCATCTGAATCAGTAAAGAGGTACATTTTATGTTTATTGATTCAGTAAGAATCTTTGCAATATCCATATATTTTTTGATCATTCAACTGGGAAGAATTAATTAACTAAAATCAACACTGACAGTTACTTTCAAAGGCAATTTGGGAAATGTAGGATGCTATTGATGTTGACATGGAAATTAATTATATTTTTGGGGTTAATGAAGCTTCACCTAATATCTATCTCTTTGTACTCGTCCTCTCCAGACAGAGGACTCCTCGGTACATCAGCTGGAGGCAGAATTTCAATCTTTTATCTCAGCGCTGCGCTCAAAATTGGAATCCAGAGCTGCTCCTCCCATCCTGTCCATGGACGCAGTCTACCTCCAGGAGGAGTCTCCCAACAGTCCCCATTCAACGTCTTCTTCCACGGGAGCATCCTCCTCCTCCTCCTCCTCCTCATCCTCACAGGAACCCCAGAAACCTTGGTCTCTTTTAACAGCCCTGATGAATGAGATTCAGAAAGTAAGGACACGAGATGATGGAGTGGCAGAAGATGAGTCACAAAGTGTAACATTGCCAGATAAAGACTCTTCTTCTGATTTAAACTGGAGCGTCACGTCGGAGGATTTTACTTTTGTTGAGAATGGAGACGGAACAGAAATGAAATATTCAGCGTTACCGCTTCCTGTGCAGTCCACGTCTGTGGTCACTGAGGGGGCTCCTCGCTCAGAGACCACCGCTGACCCCAGACAAGCTGTGCAAGCAGTAAAGACTCGAAGTCTGCACAGAATATACCGGAGCCTCCTTCGGAAGAGGCAGACACCTGGGGCCAGTGGGAAAAGTATGTACCACACTTTGTTCTGACTTCCATTAAATACCTTCACAAAACAATGTGTGTAATATTTGTTCTAGGAAAGTTGTTGTTTTTCTCAAATCAAATGTTTTTGTTTGTTCCTGCAGTTTGCCCTGGAGTCAGAGAGACCTCACAGCAGGTCAGCCAGGTCAGAGACTCCTACAGCTGGGTCTTAAGCATCCCGAGCAAAAACCTCCGCATGAGCTTCCAAGAGGTGAACTATCATTTAAGATTGAGAAGTTGACAGAAGTGAATAAGCAATTGATAAAGAGAATTGTGTCTAATGTACGCCTTTTTTCTCTCTCTCTTTTTTGTTCAGGTGTTAGTTGATCTGAGCTCCAAGAATGATCGAGGACTTTACCAGGCGCGGGTCAGAGCAGTAGTGGGCGGACGACCTTTGACCTTCTACAGTCTTGTGGGCCTAGAGAACGAGTCCTTTTACCGCAGTGTGCCAAGGATAATCTCTGTAGCACTGGACGCACTCAAAGTCTGAGATGACGATGAAAGCACAAAGACTCTCACAGAGACCTGTTTGCACCAGAAAAGCCTCGTCATGGGACAGAGAGACGCACATAAACGCACACTCACTCAAACTTTCTTCTGTCTTTTGTGAAAAGCATTGATTTGTTTTCCTTCTCTCAGAGCCTGGCTCTAAATGAAAACACAACCTTGAATGTATCAATCCCACTGTCGCCCACCCATCATGCCACAGGATTTTTTTATGTGGTCGGAGATGCAGCGTTGTTTAACTTATAAATCTGTACAAAGTGATAAGTTATTCATATTGTCTTTTGCAAAGGTTGAGCCTCTTGTGAAGCACACAGACTGTAAATATTATTTGTATTCTTACCTGATTCTTACTATATTTATTTGTACAAAGAAAAGCATTTGTATTTTTGTAAAAAAAGATCTATATATAAATAAAATTGTTATTGCTATGGCATGTTGAGTGTTGATGGTTAGATGTGAGATATTCAAATAAGCTGACAGCAATGCTACTAATCCTTCAGTATTTTGCCGCTGTGTACGGCAGTTTGCTGACACGCAAACACACTCTTGAGAGACAGGTGTCGCGGCTGATTGGTTACTGTCGTGACCCAAGATTGACCTCAATCCTCCGACTCTTTAAGGGTAAGCTTTCCCATCAACACTGCAGCTGCCAGTGACAAGCACCCTCTCACCTCCTCCCTGTCTTCACTCATTATTTCCCTGATGGGGAATTGTAACTGGACGCAGAACTAGGCTGACCTTTAAAGTCTCTTATTGTCTGTCATGAGTCAGAGTAAAGACAACTGTTGCTTAAGGAAGTGACACCTTTGAAGCGTAGACAGCCCTGTGTGTTTGCTGTGTGTTGAGTTTTGTCCGACTGGCAAAGTGGTTCCCGAGGCTCAGAGTTTGTCAGCATTGATGATTGGCTAAATGAGTCGAACAAAAACAAAGTACCTCCACAACTAATATTTGCCCACTAATCTGTGGTAATTTTCTGCCAAATGCTAGGAGGGATATACAGGGAAATAAGTGGGATAGCTGAGTAAACACTCATACTTACTCCTGTTGCAACACATCAACTGGTGTGTTTGTGTGCGTGGGGATTGTGCCAAATCATGCCAGTAACAAGTATTTGTGTGACGCAGACACACACTGTAGTGAAACAGAGCCTGGCCACTCATCACAGAGGGAGAGCTGTAAAAGGAAGAGATTTATCACCTGTTGTCTTGTCCTCAGGAACTGACTTTTAACTTTCTGGCTTGCAGACACGCATGCGTCTAATCTATTGTCTGTGATCCTTTCATTGCAGAAAACACATTTAACCAAGGCTTCTGGTGGAAAAAGTTATGTTTTTTGTATAGATCACTGATGTAGTAAATGTACCTTCACAGTATCCATGCGTTACTTTGTACATTTGTTGTCTGAATGACAACAGCCAGGTGCTAGAAACAGAATTACAACTTGTGTTTTTTTGATGGTGTACCTTAACACTGTAGGCAGCCAAGCACTAAGTACAATGCCTGAAGTATGTGCGTGTCGTGGGTGTGTGCGTGTGTGTTTGTGTGTGAACGCATTGTGACAGCTGACTATGCAGACCTAGAAATAAACTCTTGGATTTAACCCTAACAATCATCAACTCCCCCACCCACCCCCAACCATTCCTCTAAACCTCCACCCATCCCACCAGCCCTGACTTCTGCTAGGAAACACACACACATTTAGACACAGACACACACACAGTTTGAGTGCCAGTAAACCCATGGAGTAGTGTGCGTGTGTAGCAGATTAGTGATCATTGCTTTGTCTCGGACAGAGCAGCACAGACACTAATGGATTCAGTACCTCCACTCTCCCTGTCACTCTTTGTGAGGGTCTTCATGATTTCTGCCACAGGTAGGCTGCTGTCAGATTTAGGAGAAGCATCTTGTTGCTTAGATTATCTGGATTTGCATTGTGTTTATATTTGTAAGGCCAGATTATTTTATGTATGTAACTAAGTGCAACATCAATTTCTCAGAAAGGTGTAACATGCTTAATGAAGGTACCTTATTTACATTTAATATTGTGTCGTCAAACTGTAATAAAATTAAGTTAATTTTAACATTAAGGAACAGTTCAAGTACTGCTCTTCCTACTGTTGGGGACATATTTTCCTAGGCCCACACCTTCGACCCAGTTTGCCTGCAACCTTGGGCTGCTGTGCTCTCAGTGTTTTGTCTCCCTGTTCCTGCCTGTTGGCGTCAGCTGATAGAGGTGTTATAGTGCTTTATCTTGTTATGCACAATGTTGATTATTCTCTCAGAACTAGCTAAATACATGGGTCTGGGGTAGAGATCTTCAGAATTGGTTTGGCAACCGCTGTGTCAACTCGTGGCACACGACATGTCTTGTGAATTCTCTGCTCGAACCATCAGTGTTTGCCATCAAAGTTCCTGCTCTCCTCTCTCTGAGTCCTGTCTCCATTGCTTCAGGAGTTTCCATCACACCTACTACTAATTATATTTGCATTTTCACAACCAACAAAAAGTGGTACTCAACTCTCGGCCAAATGTTATTACAGAGGTTGCAGTACACTAAGCGTCACTCTTCACTAAACTGCCCCAGGTTCAGTGAGGAATCAAACAACAACGATAAATGTAGCTTGCATTTATATAGCGCCTTTCAAGGGACCCAAGGTCGCTTTACAGTAATAGGGCAAAAACAAACATAACAAAACAAAAGTCAGACAGACAAAACAACAGATCGATTAGGGGCCGAAAGCCTTGGCAAACAGATGGGACTTGAGGGCCCTTTTGAAGGCGTCGAGTGTGGGGATGTTGCGAATCTCCGCAGGGAGAGCGTTCCAGAGGGTGGGGGCTGCCACACTGAAGGCTCTGTCCCCGAAGGTTCGCAGTTTGGTGCGGGGGGTGGTAAGCAGGCCAGAGTCTGAGGACCGCAGGTTCCGGGGTGGGGCATGTGGGTGAAGGAAGGATGTCCGATAGGTACTGGGGGGCAAGGGCATGGAGGGACTTGTAGGTAAGGAGGAGTACTTTGTAAGATATACGGGATTTGACCGGCAACCAGTGTAGGTGGATGAGGGTGGGAGTGATGTGCTGCCACGGCTTTGTGTGTGTGAGTACCCTAGCAGCACCGTTTTGGACATACTGGAGCCTGTCCAGGGGGTTTTTGGGAACCCCGAACAGGACACCATTGCAGTAGTCCAAGCGGGTGGTGACAAATGCATGTAGGGTTTCGGCAACCGACTCCGAGAGTGATGGTCGGAGTCTGGCAATGTTCCTCAGGTGGAAAAAGGCCGATTTGGTCACAGATTTGACGTGGGAATGATGTACCTTTGATGTAAATATAAATTGTTACCCAATTGTAATTCATTATTTGGCAAGGCATGTACACAAAGTTGGACCATACTCATGCTGTGTGAGTAGACTTCATGCGGGTTCCAGTTTTATACTCGTCATAGGGGACTATCAGGTGATTGCTGTATTATCTTTGCTGATACAAGTATAAAGTGGTACCGAGTGATGCTTTGTATCAGCGATGTTATACAGCATTATTGAAGTGTATTAGGGAGACTGATAAGAGGCAGGTTAAAAAACGGTAGTTAGATTTGATGTAGCACAAGCATGACTTCTAGTCCGTAGCATAGATCAAGCACCAACAACGGAGGATCTTACCTATACAGCACTCCACTGATCATGTCTCTCAAACTTTACACATCTAGTTTTTAAGCAGTTTTGTTGTCAAGCCCAAACTGAGATAACCCTGCTGACAATAATAAGACATCATCAGGGTTATTTTACACACTTTGGAAACCTCTCTCCAGAGCCACAGGAGACATTAAGCAACTCTTTCATTAGGCTTCAAACTGAGACTAATATGTAAAATGGATGGAGCACTCTTTGATTTAGTCCCTTTTCTATCACTTGTCTCTCATATGTTCCTGCAGCATCAGCGCTCAACCTTGAAGGGGAACTTTTCAAGGATTTGATGAAGGGCTACAACAAGAACATCCGCCCGATGGAGAACAGCGGGGACATCACTCAGGTCGACATCAAAATGACTCTCACTAACCTCATCTCTCTGGTGAGTGAAGTTCAGTCTGGTGTTTTCGATTGGTGCCCGTGGTTATTTTAGCATTATGGGTAACACTATGTACTAACCCTATGTTCCTTCAGAGTGAAAAGGAGGAGGCCCTGACAACAAGCGTCTGGATAGAAATGGTAACCTTACACACACCTCACCTGTTGGATTATTTGCAGGTGCTTTGCACTGATTTCAAACCCACTGTATCTCTGTTTGTAGCAATGGTGTGACTACAGGCTCAGATGGGACCAACCGCCCAGGTCAGCGCTCTATGGGAACATCACCTCTGAGCTGCGGATGCCCTCCAAGAGCATCTGGCTGCCTGAAGTCATACTGGAGAACAAGTGAGTGTGAACAATTTGTCTCAGGCAATGGATCAGCCACACATTTAATAAGCACATTTTCCCAGGCAGTCACTAAAACTTCAACTGCAGCTCAGAAGAACTATCTTATAAGATGTAGTTAGCATTGATGTGTAACTTATCACAATGAGTTTAAAAGTTTGAAAGCAAACAAACAGTAATATACAGACTTTTTCTTTTTTTCATTCCAAGGACATTTTGAGGGTATCAAATCAAATCAAATCAAATCAAGTTTTATTTATATAGCACATTTTTAAACGATTTTACGATTTCTACAGTAAAGACACTTTACAGCAAATACAACAGCACAGTTTGTTCAGAATATCAGAGTATGTTGTTGTAATCACAGTCATTTAAAAGTTACTTAACTCAGCCATACAAACTAAAGGGGCAGATTAAAAAAAATATGTGTTATTTCAATGCATTGACTATATTTGCCTGCTGGTACATGATGAGCTAACGGGTAGAAAGACAATGTTTAAGAAATCAAAGAAAGGAAATTGAGTAAGTGTTTGTTTTTTGTTTTTCATCCTACTGTAGTTGTTAATTTTTGTATTTCTCACTTCCTGTGGGCAGAGAAGTGTAATACTCCATCAGACACTAATTTAGTCAAAAGTATTTTAATCAAGTGCAAATATAATGTTTACTTCTGCCTGTATACATAAGAAAAACACACTGTAGAAGCAATGTGTGTGTGAGTGTGTGTGTGAGTTGCCCTCTGTTCTAACCTGTGCACAGTATGGATGGACAGTTCGAGGTGGCTCTGTACTGCAACGCTCTGGTGTCTCCTAACGGCTGCGTGTACTGGCTGCCTCCCGCCATCTACCGCAGTGCTTGTGCCATCACCGTCAACTACTTTCCATTTGACTGGCAGAACTGCACCATGGTCTTCCGGTGAGTAGAGACAAAAGCTGTTAGGATTTGATGATTGTCAAGCTACTATAATATTAAAAAGCACCTCCGGTTTACCCACAATCTTGCAGTAATTTAGACAAAAATAAGATTTAACATTTTAGAAACCAAAGAATAGAAGTGCATTTTAAATGAGCACGGAAACTGGCTGAAATGTAAGGAAACAGATAAACAACTCAATATAGAGTTTATTACCTATAGTGAGAACATTCAACTAGATTTATTTTAAGAATTTAGTTATTCTCCATTTGAGTTACCCTCCTATAGAGAAGGCTTTAACATAAAGTTAAGTTTCAAGAAAATGTAATTAAAGTTAAATTCATTTGTAAAATGAAAATAATGAAATAAACCAAAGGAATTGAAATCAACGGACCAGCTGCTGACCAGTTTCATTTCTAATCATTTAGACTCTCGACCATCGGTTCGGATCTCTATGTCAGGTCTCTCTTTGTGATTTAAATAGAATCCAGTGTCCAAACCAGAGACAATGATTCCTTCATTCACGGTCCCTTTTCACCATGCTGTCTTGTAAAAGGGAATAAATGGCTGTGTTTGTTGTGGTGTCAGACAGAACATATGTCTTCTCGCTGTGTTCAGCTCCCAGACGTACAGTGCCAACGAGATCAAACTGGTTCTCAAAGAGGAGGACAACCACACGCTGGAGTGGGTGGACATTGACCCAGAGGCTTTCACTGGTACAGAAGAGTTTAAAAGACAGTGTTTATATTGAAACGTATTACAAATTATTGTGTTGCAAAATGTTTAACTTCCATCTTAACTTGTTTTTAGAGAATGGAGAGTGGGCCATCAAGCACAGGCCGGCTAAGATGCTGATCAACACTCAGCACACTAAGGATGAGTTGGAGTACCAGGAGGTGGTCTTCTTCCTCATCATCCAGAGGAAGCCCCTCTTCTACGTCATTAACATCATCGCTCCCTGTGTGCTCTTCTCTTCTCTCTGCCTCCTTGTCTACTTCTTACCTGCCAAAGGTCTGTTTGCTAACTTTGTGTAACTTTCTAAAAGCCTAATAATAGTCAGTCAGACCTCCAACACATCAACCTCATCATGATTTCCCTAGCTCTCATCATCAAGGTTTTCTCCAAATGTTACGTGGTAGACAAGAAAAGTCTCCTTTAGGTTACACATTTCTGTTTTCATTACCACTCTGAATGAATATTTGTTTTGCAGCTGGGGGTCAGAAGTGCACCATGTCTATTGCCACTCTTCTGGGCCAGACTGTGTTTCTCTTCCTTATCGCCAAGAAGGTTCCAGAGACTTCGAGGGCAGTGCCCCTGATTGGAAAGTACGTTTGTGTGATCGCTCAAAGAGTTTTGGTTGAAATACAGCTGACCTGAAGTGAGAACAAAATGTGATTGATGAACATCTGACTGCAGGTATTTGATGTTTGCGATGTCAGTGACAACCACGGTGGTGATGAACTGTGTGGTAGTCCTCAACGTTTCCCTGAGAACCCCAAACACTCACAAAATGACAGACAATGTCAGAAAGGTAAGACTGTGTAGACCAAACCCTTTTCTAAAGGCAATTTCCATTAAGAAGCTACTGAATGAACATCCTGTGAAGCAAACACAGGTCTATTTGCCACTGGATTACCCTCTGACCCTGTGTCCTCCTCAGATCTTCCTAAACATCCTGCCTCGGCTGCTGAAGATGCAGATGCAACCCTGGAAACCAAACAGTGACAACGCTTCAGAACCTGGCAACGGTGAAAATCATGTCACAGACAGGAACAACGTGTTCCTGGTGCCCTGCCGACGCCGCAGCTCCATGAGCCTCATCAGCAAGGCGGAGGAATACGTGTTCAAAACAGCTCGATCTGAACTCATGTTTACCAAACTCAAAGACAGAAATGGACTGATGAAGTCAGTATTAGAGAGGATACGTAAGTATTTAAACAAGTGCAAAGCAATTCTTCACCCCCAAAATGTAATAATAATAATAATGTTTTTATCACGACTTCAATGTGAACAAAGAATTGGTAAAACTGATAGTCAATAGTGAGCGGGTTTTACTAAAGCACATCAGCTAAAAAACTTGCAGACGCCTGTGTATTATAATCAAAGCTTTTTATATGCTCAGTACTTCCCAAACCAAAAACTATTTAAAACCCCCTCCTCATTAACAGTCTCAGGTTTGCGCAGATACTTTTCATCTGGACTCCTTGTATTTCTTGATATAGTTGTGCTGTTGTTGAATCCAGACCAAGTTGACTTTGGTTCATGAGGAATTTTGTTCACTGTGAAAGCCTTTTGTGAGATTTATTCAAGAACTCAAGGTAACAGAGGTTGAAGAATGTAAATACAAAAGATAATTTAGGAGTGAAGTCTTCCATTAAAGTGCCTATGAAAGTGTGTTCTCCTTATCGTGAACATCTGGTGTTTTGTACACAGATGATGGGCTGGAGGGGGGCTCAGCTGAGCAGCTCAGTGCCAGCCTGGCAAAGGCCTCTCCACAGCTGAAGCAGTGTGTGGCCTCCTGCAAACACATAGCCGAGACTGCAAGAAAACAGAACGACTTCCAAAGTGTGAGTTCTACATTTCAAAATGTGCTGATCTTCTTAGGTTAATCAACATCAGTGATAATCTCCCATTTTCTTCCTTCTCCAGGAGAACGAAGAGTGGTTCCTGGTCGCCCGGGTGATCGACAGGGTCTGCTTCATTGTCATGGTGTCTGTGTTTTTTATCGGCACGATTGGGATCTTCCTGATGGGTCATTTCAACCAGCCCCCCTCCTCGCCTTTCCCCGGGGATCCCAAGAGGTATCTCCCTCTAATAAACAACCTCACTGATCTAACTGAGAGTGGGATGGGAGCAAACTTCTTGGGGTGAACTAAGAGAAAACTTCCAGATGTAATCCTTTTTCAATCAAAAGTCGGAATCTGAGGATGTCCGTCAGTGATCCTTCGCTTTGAGACGAGGACACAGAGAAGATTTGGGGGTCTTTCCGACTATCACAAGTCAAACATGCTTGTTCATGTTGATAAAGGATCCACTGCACAGTTGTCTGGATGCCAGTATGATTGATGGTGACGCACAGTACTGGTATCAGCTGTCACTGATTTTTGGGGTTGAGAATACTTGTTGCGTAAAAAGCTGTATAAGAAAATGTGCTCTTCCTGTCACAAGCCCAGCGTTTGATGTAAGTCTACATTTTTTCCTGCTGATGATCAAATCGTAGGCCATCATGATAAACTACATGAGACACATGTTGATCACAGATGTAAACAGTGAAAACAATGTTTTGTTTTTTAAATAAAAGTACTTCTATTATTGGTCAATTGCTCAGTCTCAGACTTTTCTTAATCATGTGTTTAACACCTTTTCTTGTGGCACATATAGAGCCCTAACACCCCTCAGGCTACCCCAAAACACAGACCCACTGCACAGCCCCCTCACCTCTGGAAGCAGGATTTCAATTACATGGCAGAGCGGGGTCTTTTTTAACCCAACAAAAGGCAGATCCGCCTGGTTGGGATGGAAACAGAGTCAGGGGGTGAGACCGGCGGTGACACACACATACACACACATCACAACGCCAAACATTACTACATACACACACAGAGGTTGTAAGGAGGTATGTGCTTCAGCCCTCCTGATCATGACGACTCGTGGATGTTTGTCTGGTTATATCCTTCTCACAGTCAGAGTCTTTAGGTACCCGGAGGTCGACCTCAGAAGGTAAGCAAGAGACTGTTGTGCTGTTTTCTGTCCTTAAATACTGTTTAATACTAATGACTGTAGAGAAGATTTACAATTTGGGCACCTTATCTTTCAGCAATCCCTGTCTGTTTGCAGGACAGGAGTTAGAGTTTAATTACTTTTTTGTTGAGGAATATCGTATACAAAGTTACATGCAGCTGCAGAATGGGGCAAACTGTGAAAGCTGAGTGTGTGTGATGTGAATAAAGAAGAGGCCGAGGCTGGCTGCGGTGATAAAATCCCTTTGTCGTAAGGGGAGGGAGTTTATATTGGTGCCAGAGAAATGCCCGAACCTCCTGAAGGAACTTTGTGTAATAAGGAAAGTTGGTGTTCTTGAGCTTTCTCGTGTAAATTCAAGAGATGATTACAATTATTTGTTTGTAAGCTTCTACTTCAGGGGGAATGTGACGTTTTTATTTAGACGATCTAGTCAAGTATACTATGACATTGAGTTCTGAAATACTTTTCTTTCTTTTTTTTATGACATACTATGACTTTTTTAATGACATACCGTAGACCCCATTTCATAAGATGTTGGTCAACGGTCCCTAATCTGATAAATTGTTTTGTTTTTACACTTTCTATTTTATACATACATATTATACTAAGTCCATATAAATAACTTTTTGTGACCTACTTAACAATGACTTCTTCTGATTAATTTTTGAAACATTGGACGTTTTATGATTTTCAAATTGCGTATTATAATATTCATTTGTATGATAACTCTTTACCTTGACTTTTTTGATTTTTTGATGGCATACTGTACTATGATTTTTTAATGATGTTCTTACTATAACTTTCATAAAATTATTAAACACTATGAGGACAATTTAAACACAACAATTATTTCTGTAACTCCAAAAAGTCCTGGATTATTGTTTAACACGAGTCTGGTATCTAGATAATTACATCCAAACATAGACAACAAATTAGCGATATACTCACGGATGAACAAAGTATCCCACCTTATATATTCACAGTATAATTGCTTGTCATTGATATGTTATTTCTGAGTGCAACATATATTTTCAGTTTTACACCATGTCAGCGGTGACCAATCAGCCTCTTCCCTTCGGTCAACTGGAAAGAGAGAAGCACATCCAGATGATCTTCAAAGCTTTCCAGAAACACTGCGGGCCTTCATGTGAATGCCACACTCACTCCACTGGGTCCAAACGCACCCAAACGCCTCCTGACTGTGAATCTGATGGGCAGCTGTCAGGTGTGGCTCCTGGGAGGATGATGAAAAACGGATTCATGCAGCAACCAGGGAAAGTCAGTCTGCCAGGGGTGGAGGAGCCTGGAGGTGCAACAGGATCACACTTCCTGTCTGTGCTGGAAACAGTCAGTCAAATACACATCACTGCCAGACCAGAGCTGCAAGGTGAGAAGGGGGGGTCACTTTGGCGTATCTTTCTTTGAAGTCAAAGTCAAAGTCAGGTCTCCTATTATACTGTTTTTCATCAATATATTATAGGTCTCAGATATATACTGTACAAAACATGTCTCTGAAGTGTTTGGCTCGAAATACCAAACAGATCATGCATTGTAGCATCCCATAATCCCCTCTGTTTCAGCCCTGTTTCAAAAGTGCTGATTCTCTGTCTGATACTTTAGATGAAAATAAGGAGCCACTCCCCACGCCCCTCTGAGAGAGATTTGGTTAAAAAGAACACAAAGGTGCTCGAGGAGGAGATTCAGGTGATAAAGTGTGGTGGGGGGGTGGGGGTGGGGTGGGGGGGGGGGGGGGGGTTACCTTGGTTGGTTATTGGCTAATGGTTACACAAGCCAAAGAATCGTTATGACATCATAAAGTGGCCAAAATCTGATCAGCTCATTTTCAGACAGGTTTTTATATAAATGGATCAGGACAAAAAGAGAGCGAATCTTTTTTCCTGAAACCTTCAGAATCTCTTTACACAGAGGGGATTTTGCATAATAGGTGACCTTTAAAAAGTAATACTAGCAGTGAATATGTTTTTCTGTTTTAAAGAATAATGTGTCGTCATTGCAGGTCCACAATGTGTTCCAAGGAGGATCTACAGCATCAGCACAGGAGGTCACAGGTCACAGTTATTTGTGGCTGTGGAAGGTACTGATCCATGTTCAGCTACACATGTCTTAACTGAGCCCATCATTTGCTTTACATATGAAGATAGTGTGGGTTTTAATGTTTTTCAGTGTATTGTCTTTGATCTGTCAGAGAGTTCCTGTGTGTGCCTCCAGTGTTGCGGTCCAGCTCGGGCCTGTTCCCTGCGGGGGTTCGACTGTCAGGGCCGGCAGGTCTTTTATTTTGAAAGGCCCCTCAGAGTGGACGCCTGCTGTCTCGGCTGCTGCCTGATGGAGATGAGGGCGTACACACCTCACAAACAACTCATAGGCACTGTGTTTCAGAGGTAGGACAGTCAAAACGTACTTCTATTGCCCCGGGCCAACTTCAGTGCTGAAGAGTAGACTTACTGAAGTACCGACTCTTATAAGCGCTTGGGAATACTTTAGAGAATCTTCTATTTCATGCTATATTTAAGTTACTTTGCAAATTTGACCTGTAGAACAGAAGATAAGTGTCTAAAATATGGTGCATGTTTCAGGCAAAACTGTACTTTTAATATAATGTGACCCCAAATAAATAAAGAATTAAAAATAAACAACAACAACAACAAAATGGTGCATCGTTAGAAATGATATCCAGTAATCAATGCATATCAATAATATAATTTATTAAGATTTACTTTTGCTACTTTAAGTAAAATTCTTTTCAAACATTTAAATATTTCATGCAGTCATTTTTCTTAAAATGTTTTATTATTTCAAGTAAAACATGTGATTTCTGTTTTTCACACTAGACTTGGACTTGACAGTTCAACTGTTATATGGCATGAAAGAAAATTGTATTACTTTTTAAAATTAAGATTTTACTGATGCAGCAAAAACATTTGATAAAAACTAAAAAAGAAATCCCAACTAGTTTGTCGGATTTGATTATTTTAATTAAAGGTGTCTTCGGTGTGGTATTTGGGTCAGTGGTGGAATTGTGCCACCTACTAATACTAATACCAATCAGGATCGTTTTACCAGGTCTGAGATTTATGATGTTGTCGAAATACAGTTGAGTTGAAAGAAATGTAATCTTTCAAGTTTTTTGTAATTTAAATTAATGTACCCTTTAACCCTTTGGCCTCCACTATAAGCATACTGTACCAGCAATCTTTATACATTCTCAGACTGAACATGTGAGCTTTTTTTCCGTGTCCCTCCCGGCCTCTGGCCACCCTGAGCCATCAGTGATGCCCAGCCTGTCTGTAAATAGCAGTGAGAGCTTTTACTGTTCCACCCAGCCGGGGTGCAGTCTAAACCTGTGAGACTTAATGCACTAAACAGCTGCTTGGACGGAGACATACTGACAAAGCTGCCCCGGGCTGCATGGGAGGGAAGGAATGCGACGTCCTTCTTAATGGGAATGTTGACTAATGGGCGAAATGGCAGCACCCAATCTACTGTAGGCAAACCAAAATACTTTCTTCTTCCTTTGGCCTGAATTTGACTCCAGGGTTAGCTGAGGTACCGTGGTGTGTGCCGGATCCAGAGTTTTCCAGAAGCCACACTCAATGACGTTTTCCCCAATTAAGACTGACCTGGCAGAGGTTTCGTTGAGCACAGATTTACTTGGTATAAATATTCTCTCAGTTGTCCTCGAATAAAGCCTGCCCCAATTTGAACTCCTCCGATACCAAGCAAACAATGGTTTTAGTGCTGCAGAACCATGACAGCTGAAAATTTGATCAACCAAGCATCAAGGCTATGCCGCGCCACTGTGTGAAGTACTGGCCAGTGTATCTGCTAGGTTGCTTATTGCACAATTATTATGTAAGGGTACGGGTTGAGTTGGTGTGTGTTGGGGGTCTGTGTTTTCAGGTGGAGCATGTTCACCACTCTCCTGGAAGTGTGTGATTCAGAAGGAGCATCCACCATCAGAATCCAGGGCTCCTGCTGTCCATCCCGATGCTTCTCTAACCAGCAATTCCAGGTAGTGATATTTAAGCAACACAAAAATAAAAATATTCTACACGCTTATTTTAATTGCTATGTTTTGCTTTTAATCTTCTCCAGATTGTCTCCAACATTGGGGAGAAAATGGGCTCGATATGGAAGAAATGGCCTGGCTTCAATGACGATTATAACATGGACCATGAATATTTTGGGTTGGAAGGTGAGTTGAGCACAAGGAAGGTTTAAAAAACTTACACAACTTACACACGTGTTTACATATCAAAATGTCTTTTGAGAAATGAAATGTTATTTTACTTAAAGGTAGGGTAGGTAAGTTTGAGAAACCAGCTCGAGATCGCTAGAATTTGAAAATACACAACCGGAGAAAATCTGCCACTTCCTTATAGAGCCCCTCCTCCAACACACACGAACGCGCACATGACCAATGAGGGCACGAGATAAGTTTGTGCCCCGATGGAAGGCTGACAGGCAGGTAGGCCATCCAGTTACTTTAGCCAGGCCGGCTAAAATGATTGGTCGTGCTTTTTACAGTATTACGGCTTCCACAGATGACATTTTTTTATGGATTTTTTGTCAAAGCACTTAAGATATTCATTGCTATCGGGATGTTAAGAGCATTCCGTGGAATATAACAAAAAGTGTATCTCGAGCCGGTTTCTCAAACTTACCTACCCTACCTTTAAGTTAACTCCACATAATGTCCCATAGTCAAACCCCATAGTTTGAGAACCTTAATGTCATTTCAAATTGTATTTAAATGTGTCTCTTCCAGTGCCACTCGGTATGGAATCACACTCCAAACTAATGCTGCTGGCAGCCACTTTCTTGTTGGTAAGCAAATTAATTTATATTATCACTGTTGCATTGTTCATACTTTATTTATTATAATAGGCCTTTTTTTACAGAAAGGACAATAAAAGTGTAAATATCGAAACTAAACATAGCTGAATTCAGTTTTAGGGTTCTGATATTGTGAATGCTACCATCATAAATGACTACAATAGACATTGTTCATAGTTGTATTAATACCTGTGATTTCCCTACTAGTACATATCATGTCTGTTGTGTAAAAGGCCCTTAGAGTTTGTCCCTTTACTGATTTGCTTTCACTTTTTTCCCTACAGAATTACATGTTCTTTGAAATGAGCTGATCAATAAAAAGGTAAACTGACATTGTTGCTACAGCGTCAGTGTGTGCTACAATTGATGAGACACACCAGAGGGTTCAGTTGATGGTACAAGAGACCGTATCAGTGAATTGTATTTATAAAGAAACAGTAAGGAATGATCTGTCCCTCAACAATTATGTTTCAACAAAAATATGTTAAAGAAAATGACACTGAACCAGATTTAGCAGCAGATGCATATTTGACATTTATTGCTATACTCCATCAGGTGTACATCCAAATGTGTTCTTCACTTTTGACACACACCTGCACCCATCATCATACCCACAAACACTGGCAGCATTACAGTTTTTCAACAAACTATAGGCGCTTTCTTGGCATGGTTCCAAAAAAATGCTCCCGAGAATTGATAAAAACTGTAACAGACCCTGACCCTGGGCCCAGTTTCATTTATTTTACTACAAAATGGAAAAGGAGTGAAGGTCAGTGTTCCAGGACACCTGGACACCTTTGTTGAGGACATTAAAGCAGAACCCATCCCTTGGATTGTTTAAAGGCGGGATGAAGACGTGACAGACAGAAGGGAAAACTGGTTCGGGCTCGAGGCCAGGCACAGTGATTTAGGCAGCTTGGCAGTCCATTCTTAAGATGCCGGTTATACAACCTTCTGCCCAACACAGGATGCTCCTCATCCTTTGGGATTAACTTTCACGTAAAGATGGAGAATCATTGCTGATTCAGTTAAGCGATCTTTGAAGTGGACTGTATTTACAAATATATCGTACACAATAATAGTAATCTTTCTGGTTCGAAATGTCAGACGAATTGTAGTTAAAATACAGCACTGTAATAAAAAGAAAAAAATCGACCTGCAACCCTGTTGAAGTCCTAATAAAACAGATTCATTTTAGACCGCAGGAAATGTGATGTTAAGCAGTTAAATCTAGTATTATAACAGACTGGTTTTGTTGTATTTTGTCAAGTACACTTTGTTTACAGCTAATGACCAGATCAGCGAATACCTGTCACATGGCCTCCCTCTTGTGGCAAGTTAACAGATGTTACAACTTGCATTAAAAAAATAAAAAATAAAAATTGAGGCATCAGTCTTCTCTGGTTGATTAAAAGTAACGCATATTTCCCTCTTCGGCAAGGTTCAGTTCGACAGGCTTTTCCGTTCATTTCCAATTTGACGCAAATAAGGAATGGTCTTCCTGCCTCTGTTTCTGACTTTTGCTCCGTCTTCATGTTACACAGTCCCAATCCACATAGAGGTTTCCTTCCCAGGACTCGTCATCCCCCGGCATGTTACATATACACACACCTACGCACAGCAAACAGAGACAAACATTAGCACCAGCACATCAGAGAGAAACTATCTTTCACTTTGAAATAATGTAGCAACAGTTCCTACTCTTTCAGAGGTTGTCTGTGTGAGGGGCTAACGTCCGCCACTAGGGTTCACCAGTCCATGGAAGTCTACCCATGCTCTGTGAACAAAGGATGCAGCACATCATCATTCAAAATAAACACCACGTTTGGATATTCAGGCCTTTTCAATGGGAAAATCACAACTGCATCAATTTACTGCAAAAGCACATGAAACATGACAGTGTTGCATACATGGTGGTGTTTGACTTGTCTTTCTTTTATAACATATACACCAACAAATAAGGGAACAAATGATATATCAGTTCTATTATAGCTCTGGATGTTGTTCTGGATGCTTCAATAAATAAATCATAATTGCCAAAGAAAATTAAGAGAGTAATGCTCTACTTAGTGCTGCTAAAAACTATTTATGTTCATTATCTAGTATAATGTTGATCACTTTCTAATTAAATGTTTATTAAACTCTTAGAAAGGAATCTCGTATGATCTCGAGAACCTTTCATTGGATCTACTTCATATTTGCAGACTATATTGTTGGGGATCCAAGTAGGTGTGGTGTCGAAGTTGGGGCAATTTAGACACGGGACATTTTCGATAACTACGAAAAAACAAGTGAATAGCGATCTGTGCAGCAATGGGTTGGGGCCACATGACTCAAAACTGAGTGGAGCATGTTGTCCGCAGCATGTTGTCCGCAGCAGGCCTTTAAAGGCTGCAGCTCATGGACTGCACTTTCTTTTGCTGCTACATGCCGCATATAGCCTGCTAACGTTACATGTATGTTGGAAATACTAAAGTTACAATCCATGCTCTACTTGGGTGTGCTTTTCAGGCGCAGATTGAGTGATTCAGGGGCCCAGGCAAACGTTGTTTTGGATGATTTTTCATACATCATTCACTGATTGGGAACTTTGGTATTGGCAGAGGTAGATTAAGTACTTACACCTTTTTTTAACTTAAATTATACAAAAATAAAAACAGCATGTGTCCTAAAAATGTCATAGTATTAGGGCTGCATGATATATCATGTCGTGACGATAATCGCGTTATGCGCATGCGCGATATTGACATCGCAGGACGTGCGATTTTCTTTTCTTTTTTTCAATTTATTTTTTAGGACGTGCGATATTAAGTAGGCAAATGAACTCAAACGGGTCATGGCTCTCATGTCAGGGGTACTTGAGTGAGTGACATGCAGGCTCTGCATGCACAGCAAACCACCAATCACAACCATTCTTGATCAGATCACAGCAGGATAACCGAGCTAGCTCAGCTTGTTGCTCTGATAACTTAAGATCCAGAAGTCCGTGACTAAAATCCTTCATTCGGTTAAATATTGTTAAAAAAACGGTCTTTTCTTCAATTCCTGTATTTTTTCATATCGCAGGGGAAGAAAATATCGCAATGTCAGTTTTTTCCAATATCGTGCAGCCCTACATAGTATATTATGAAAAAGTCAGTAATATAGTATGTCTGCCTCTGCCGTTTGCTATCATGAACCAGAGTGTATTTTGCTGAGTGACAGAACTATGCCATGGAAGCTCAGGACCAAAGAAAAGGAAGCGTAGTGTCAAGTGTTCAGCTGTTTGTATGAGCGCTTCTTGAGAAAGCTGCAAGCTGCAATATCAGAGGCCAATCATTCAGCCGTTCAAAACAGGCGCTGTTCTAGCTTTTAAAAAATGCCTGAAAAATGCCTGATCTTGTTTGCATGATCATTTCAATGTTTTCTTCTAACAACACTCAGAAACCAAAACCTATTCAAATAACAGCAGCAAATGTTAACAACTAAGAAGCTGCAACATGCAAATGTTTGCAATTAGATTACCACACCGATCTATCTATCTGTCCAAGTTGTAAAATACATTGTTTTATATCATCACGCTCTTTGACGCAACAATAATGCATCATATTTAAAAACATAAATGTGACAAAATGTTCATTCTGTGACCATGCACACACATAGAAAGAGAGAGCAAATAATTAAACGATTAGACATACATACTTAATGCTGTCTGTGTGAGTCTTGTACTCCATGATGGTGTTGGGAGGCAGGTTGAGGACTCTGCGCAGCGTGTCTCTGATGCGGGCAGTGGTCGCCTGGTCGCTGGCTGTTTTGTTCCAGATAGAGATGATGTCCTCCTGAGAAGAGAAGAGAGGGCATGATGATGATACTGAAACATGCAGTGTGAGACGAGGTACTACAGGAGTGCGTGTCTGTTTACCTGGAAGCGGACTGACACCACAGCCCCGCAGATCTCCTCCCCAACCATGAACTGCTCCCCCAGCATTGCCAGGATCAGGTTCTCCCAGCACCGCGATGCAAGGCCTTTCCTCAGACGGATGATCCACTTCCCACCCATCTTATTGGCATCATCCTGTAAAACAACATGGTATGGATTTAGACTGGGTTTTTCATTTACAAATCTAAATTCATTTAATGTATTACAATAATATATGTAGTACCGACCTCCCACATGGGTTTAATACCCTCTTTGAACAGGTGGAAGTCACTATGGCCTGTCATGTCGCCTGGCCGGATCATGTGACTATAAAAACGCCAGAATTGCTCCACCTTGGGAAAGACAAGAACAGGGAATATGCAGGAATAATTACATTTTGTACCTTTTAAATTATTTTTAAAAGACCCTTTTTCATAGGTTTTAAGACCTCATCACCCCTTAGAGTAAGCTGGCTACATTAGTGATAGACTTCAAGTTACAATTAGTTGTGATATAAAATCATAATATGGTATGTGGTCATTTTGTATTATAAATCATAATATAGTATGCCACAAAGATGTCATATTACAGTATGTCAAAAGAGTCAGTGTATAGTAAGTATTAAAAAAGCCACAATATTTTATGTCTTAATTAAAACGTCCTAAAATATTTGTATATCAGTCAAGATAAGCTTGTATTCATGCATTTGCGCTGTGCCTTGCTAAGGTGATAATTAGAAGCAAAGAGAGTCCCCCCACCCTATCTAATGTACTGGATGAGGAGCGACTTACCGAGGCGAAGCCACCAATCGGTTTAATGTTTTGCTCGTAGCTCTGAGTACTGGCTGGTCTCCCTGGGGTGCGCCTGGAGTACCAGAAGGTGTAATTGTATTGAAGAGGGTGCTCTCCTGCCCCTGGCACCACCATCTGCAGAAATCAAGAAAGGAACTTAGACATACTACTAACTTTGGAGATGAAAACTCATGAGTCATTCTATAATGGGCTGACCTTTCTCTTGGAGCTGTTCTGGTCTTTGTCCTCGTCTTCAGTCTTTTCCTTCTCACTGTCTTTCGGTGAGCCTTGGTCCTGGTCGTGGTCTCCACTGTCATCATCTTTCAGACTGGATTTGATGGAAACATTAGGCAAAAAAAGATCTTTGTATCATGACCTGACTTCATTTAAGTTAAGGGGGACTTGCATCTTGGTTAAAAAGTAATTAAGGTGTAAATGCTAACTAATGCTGGCATAACACATCATAAAGAAGTTCAGTTTAAACAGTTTTAGGGAAGTGTTGAGTCAACTTGTGGTCACTTTGAAGGCTGTTGTTGTAAGGGAATCGATGTTCCCACGGTCTTATGTTGCAACTTAAAATCCTCGAAAATATATATATATTTTAAATGTTTAAGCAAAAATATATTTCCTTGAGTAAATATGTTTAAATCACTAAACCTACAGCTTAAAGCCCACTGATGTTTATACTCCTTGACATTGATATTTCCATAATTGCTGAACGGATTTTTACCATGATTCAAACT